ATGAGTGTGTGGAGGAAGAGGCTGTTTACATGCTGGGGAAAGAGAGGGAAAGAGAAAGGTGAAGAGGAGAGGAAGAGAAAGGGGTGAGCGGGAGGAAGAGGAAGAAGTGGAGAGGAAAGAAAAAAGAGAAAATAGAAAGGAGGAGGAGGAGGAGGAAGACAAAGGAGAAGCGGGAAGAGAGGAAGAAGAACGCCTGTTGCTGGCATTTTCCCTTTTTTATGTCGTCTGAACCTCCAGTCTATGGGATGTTGCTGCTCACTTTCAGAGCAGGCATTCCCACCTTAATCTCTGGAAATCCCTAAAGGCCTGCTTCACTAGTCTCCTAGGCTTCGAAGTCACAACGACAATCTTGATTAACCTTCACACAAATCCATCTCCCTTGTCAACTTGACACCCACCCTTAAACCAAAACAGTCCCCAACTGCCCCCAACCAAGGCTCATGTCCATCTTATAGTCAAAAACACATTCAGTCTGTCTCTAAGAATCCCCAGTCTTAAAAGTTTCAACACTGTTCAAACTCCCAAATTCAGGGGCTCCTCTGTGATTCAAGGCAAAGTCTTAGTGGTAAATTCTTAGCTGTAAAAATTAACAAACAAGTCATAGCCTTCTAAGACACATCAGCACAGAGTAAATATCCCCATTCCAAAAGGGAGGAATGGGTCATTGAAAAGAGAAATGGAGAAGCCAGCAGGACAAACACTGAATCCCGAAGTAACATACTCAGTATCTGAGGCGCATGTAGAAGTGGGATGTGGGCTCTGGAAGTCCAGGGCAGCTGTGCTGGGATGGCCTTGCAGTCTAACTGGCATGGCCTCCCTCTTGGTCCAGCTCTACTCATTAGCTGCAGTTACCCTTTGCAGACATTCCACATTCTAGAAAGCTGCAACATTGTGGGGTTGCCATTGAAGCTCAAGCTCCAGCCTTACACCCTCATGTATCACCTTTTAAGGGACTGCTTGCAGGGATGACAGCATTGTCACATTGCCTGGCCAAGCAGGCTTTCTTTTGGAATCTGGATGGAAGCCTTCATGACATCCTATCTCTTGCAGTTTGCCTGTACAAAATGGCATAATGCAGATGAAGCCAAGGCCTAGTGCCTGATTTGGGGGTAGCCAGGCTCCCCTGGACCACAGCCACATTGGCCTCTGAGCAACTATGTGGCTGAGCATGATGAAATGAATCCTGGGAAAACAACTTCTAAGGTAGTTCTATGCAAGCAGGGCACCCTGGAGACCCCTTTTCACAAAACAAACTCTCAAGTAATTTTATTCTTCATATCCTGCACTGGGTGGGGCCTAACTAGGTCCTGAGATACTCTTTCTTAATGCCCCAAGGCAAAGTACTTGGCTTCTATTTAATGGCAATAATCTCGTCAGAAACCAGGCCTTCCTCAGCCCCAACCTTACATGGATCTTTTCTGTCCAAACTACAAGTGTTTCAATTCTTTTTGCTCAGCTTTTTGTTCCTGGTTCTCACTGCAAACCCAATGAAAAGCAGCCAGCAAAAACTGTGGAATTTCCTTCATGAGATTAGTTAGCTTATTACCTTAAAACTGGCCTTCCAGAAAGTCTCCAGACATGGACTAGACAGAATGTAGCCAAGTTCTTTGCCAGAATGTAACATGAATATCCTCTTACTGGATTTCCAGTAGGATCATTCTTTCTGTCTGAAACCTAATAAACAGTCTTTACTGTCTACATTTCTAATGTCATCCTTGAATTCTGACTCCCACCAGAATTGCCCATTAAGTTCTGCTTACAGGGCTGGAGAAATGGCTCAGAGGTTAAGAGTACCTACTGCTGCTCTATAGGATCTGAGTTCTGTTCCCAGAACCCACACCGGGCGGCTCACAACTACCTGTAACTCCACTCCTGGAGATCTAATGCCCTCCTCTGGCCTCCTCAGGCACCTGCACTCAAGTGCACATATCCCTCCCCCATCCCCCACCCCTGCCACAGACATACACGTGAACATAATTAAAATAAAATAAAAATATCTCAAGTTCTGCTTACAGCATTCTAGACCTCCAGTCTGTACATCCAAACTCTTCCAAATCATTCCTACAAACCAGTTTCAGAGGCTTAAGAACCATAGTCATGTTTGGGTACAGCAATGACTCTACTTATCTGGTACCAATTTTCAGTTAGTTGCTTTCCTATTGCTAAAAGAAACATTTTGAAAGGAAGAATGATTTATTTTGGCTTACAGTTTCAGAAGTTTGAGTTCAACTGCCTCAATCACTTGGGCCTGAATTAGGCTGAGCATTCATGGTGGCAGAAACCTGTGAAAGAGGAAGCTCCTCACTTCATGGTGGGCAGGAAGCAGAAGGAAAACGCCTGGGCTCACTGGCTTTTTCCTTCCATCTCTTTATTCCACCCAAGACTCCAGTCTAGGAGATGTTTCGATGACATCTGGGCAGGTCTCCCCCTGCTTAGCCAATCCTCTCTCAGATACATTCTCACAGATATACCCAGAGCTGTATTTGACCAGTCTCCTTAGGCATCTCTCAATACCATTAAGAATAACCATTTTGGGGGCTGGAGAGATGGCTCAGTGGTTAAGAACACTGATTGTTCTTGCAGAAGACCTTGGTTCAAATCCCAGCACCCACATGGCAGCTAACAACTGTCCGTAACTCCAGTTCCAGGGGATCCATCAGCCTCTTCTGTCCTCTGAGGGCATTGCACGACCACGACACAGGTGCACTTACCTACATGCAGGCAATACAAGCATACGCATAAAAAAAAAATAACCATCTTGGACATGTTAACTGTGGGATGCCTGCTCCGTGTTCACACAAAGAACGGCAGTTGGAAATAGGAGTACAGACTTTAGACTAAGGATCATCCTGCAGGGCAAACTTGAGGATAACAGAGCTCAGAAGTCAGAAAAACAAACTCTGGAATACTTGGCTATTTAGAATTACATTGTGGGACAGGGCATGGTAGCACATGCCTTTAATCCCAGCACTCGGGAGGCAGAGGCAGGTGGATCTTTGTGAGTTCCAGGCCAGCCTGGTCTACATAGTGAGTTCCAGTGCCCTCTTCTGACCTCTGTGGTTATTGCATGCATATAGTACACTTCCGTATATGCAGGTAAAACTCTCATACACATAAAAATCAAGGCCAGCCTGGTCTACATAGTGAGTTCCAGGACAGCTGGGGCTACAGGATGTTTTCTTTAAATTCAATGGTTACTCTATCTTCTAACTAGATGCTCTGAGGATCAAACTTCTCATTTTTTTGCCTTTCTATAATGTTTTGTACATCACATCAGAAAGTGCAACAAAGGGGCCGGAGAGATGGCTCAGCGGTTAAGAGCACTGACTGCTCTTGCAGAGGACCCGGGTTCAATTCCTAGCACCTACATGGCAGCTAACAACTGTCTCTAACTCCAGTTCCAGGGGATCTGACGCCCTCTTCTGACCTCCTCATGCATTGCACAACATGGGTGAACTTATACACATGCCACCAATACATTCATACACATAAAATAAAAATTAAATAAAATTTAAAAAGTGAAACAAAGAGGAACTACTATTAACTGAAGGCGTATTAATATCTGCTAAATATTTTTCTGGGTCTCTATATAATTACTTATCTAATCAACAGACAAGTCCATTAATCCACATGATTTTAAGTCCTAGCTTTAGAGAAGTGTCTTGTTTATAGATTTGAATATAGGTCTAAATCTATGTTAGTTTATGGGTTGAGCTATGTCTCTCCAAAAAGATACCATAAAGTTCTAACCCCTAGGATTACTTTAGAATGTGGTATCTTTTGGAAATAGGGTCATCATAGATGTAGCTGGTTTAAGACAAAGTCTGCCCAGAGAAGGGCAGGCCCCTGATGCAAATGACTGGTTATGTCGTGTGTGTGTGTGTGTGTGTGTGTGTGTGTGTGTGTGTGTGTGTGTGTATGTGTGTGTATGAGTATGAAGTGTGAGAATATATATGTGTGCTTGTTCACGGGTGTGGGTGCATGTGTGCCATGACACATATGTAAAGGTCAGCTGCCAGAAATCGCCCTGTACCTTGTTTGAGGCAGGGTCTTCACTGGAATGCATAGTAGGCCAGCTGGTGAGGGAGCTTCTAGAGTTTCCTGTCTCTGTCTGCTGCCTCCCATCTCCTGTGGGTGCTCTAGGATTATAGACTCTTGTCCTACTGCATCTGACTCTAATGTGGGTTCTGGGGATCTGAAGTCAGGTCACCAGGCTTGCACAGCAAGTGTTTTACCCACTGAGCCATCTCCCCAGCCCTGGTTATGTCTTTATTATAGGTGGCCACATGAAAACACAATATGATGACAGAGGCAGAGACTGGAATGGTGTATCTGGGGGACAAGGAAAGGCAAGCACTGCTAGCAAGCCACCAGAAACCAGGAGAAGGCAAGAGAAGAGCCCCCGCCAGTTGGAAGAGGAACACGGTCCAATGGACACCTTGATTTCTGTCTTCAAAGTAGGACTGTGAAACAATACATATGTGAGGATTTGGGGGGTGGTGGTGGTATCTTCTTGCGACAGGGTCTCCCTGTAGCCCCAGCTGGCCTGGAACTTGCTGTGTAGACCAGGATGGCCTCAGTCTTACAGAAATCCCCCTGCCTCTGCCTCCCAAGTGCTGGGATTAAAGGTGTGTGCTACCACCCCTGGCTTTCATTATTATACCTGGCTTTAATATCTATGTTTTTAAGTCACCTGGTTCAAGGTACTTTGTTATGTGAGCTCTAGGAAGCCAATATATAACAGCACAGCACCTCTCCCTGACAAATACATAAACTGCTTAATCAGTATCTATTGACTGAGCAAAATGACGCTCTTGACTCTGCCACTCTGCCACATAAGAACATGGTTTAACATTAGTCTAACTTGAACTCTATTCAGTTTTAGGTGGTAAAGGTGCATCAGTAGCCAGCAAAAGCACCACATATTGGGACATTTACAGTTGCTATGTCATCCTATCATGAAACCTTTCATACTTTGAGAAGAATGGAGAGGGCCTCACCTAGAAGAATGTCATGAATATTGCTGCCATCTGATAAGAGTGACAGATCATCCTGTCCTGTAGATGTCTGTATAACTCCAATCTGGGTGAAATTTTGATAGCAATAGTATATCCTGTGTTTGTCCCACAGGATCAATTCTGGCAGTGCCGAGTGCAGAAAACGTGGGGTTAAAGTAGTGTTGATGGACACAGATAACTTAAAGTCTTGGAATGTCCATGTCATCAAGTCTTCATTATATATCACTATGTACATCTGTTTAGTGGTCGTACATGTGACACAATGACTTAACAGCAGGGCGAGCTCCTGGGGGTGTCCTGTGTACTCAACATATTGTATTGTCAGATCATTACTTAGCGGAAACTTTATACGAGTTTTCAGGCTTTTCGTATCTACTATTTTCACAAATTTCAGTGAAGAATATCCAAGGAAAAATTCGTCTTTTGTCCAGACTGCCATCATACTTTTTCTTTTTTCATTCTGGAAAAAAAAACAAACAGAAATATTCAGGATTATAGAATGGTCTAACAATTTCTGTCTTCCAATTAATTCCACTTAAAAATGAAAAGCAGAGAGGCAGTGAGTATAGCTCCATGACAGAGTACTTGGGATGCATGAGGCCCTGAGTTTAACCCCCAGCACCAAAAACAAGTAATTACTAAGGTTCAGTTTTCTTTTAGTATATTTTAGAATAATTCTTTAGTTACTGAAGTTCATTAAACACACGTCACATCACATATCATGAAAATAAATTATTCTATTCATTTTCTCACATATTTTCTGGCAGTAGGAAGAATAAGTCTTATTTTCCCTTAAATCTTTAAACATATCAGCCTTCTCTTTGCTTACGTATTGATCACTCTTGCCAGGCATGGTGATACATACCTGTAATCTCTGTATTTTGGAGGTTGTAAGAGGAATATTGTGAGTTTGAGGCCAGCTTGGGCTACAGAGTGAAATCTTGTCTTAAAACAAACAAACAGCAAACACCCCATAAAACAACAAGAAGAAAACAAAGAACAATAAAAAAGCTTTAATGTTAATTTATTTAATATTCATCTATTTTTATTTTATGGGTATTGAATGTTTTGCCTGCATTGGTAAGTGTACCATGTACATGCCTGGTGCCCATGGAGGTCAGAAGAAGGGCAGCAGATTGTCTGGAAAGTGAAGTTACAGAGATGCCATGTAGGTGCTGAGAACTGAATCTGCAAGAGCAGCAAGTGCTCTTAACCACTGAGCAATAACTCCAGTCTAAAGCTTTATTTTTTGAAAATCAGTTTACATCTATCTACAGGTTTTTATGACACCTAATTACTTAAAGCATAATAGTAACAATGTATTTGAGATTTATAACATATTTAGAAGTAAAATCTAAGGTAAGACTATATGATGAAAGATGGAGTGTAAATAGAGTAGCGCAGTTATAAGGGCTTACGATGCTGTGATACAGTATAGTATTGAATGCTGTGAGATAGTACAGTATTACATGATCCATTCGTAATAAGGCAAGAAAGGAGAAATGAAGAAGCAAAGAATCAATGGGATGGATAGAAAGTAAATGCTACTGCTGCGGGATGTGGCTCAGTGGAACGGCACTTGACCAGCATGCCTGAGGTTCTAGGTTCAGTTGCAGGGAATGACAAAAAATAAGTGCCAAAGTAGAAGTCCTTTTAAAAGGTTTACTTCATGTTGCTTATGTGTGTATGTATCTGTGTGAATGTATGAGCACATGTGTGTGGGTGCCCAAAGAGGCCAGAAGAGGGCAGACTACAGCTCTGAGTCAGATCTCTCAGAGCTACAGTCACATGCATTTGTGAGCTGCCCCATGTGGGTGCTGGAATCCAAACTCTAGTCCTCATGATTGAACAGCAACCACTGAGCCATCTTTCCAGCCCCCATGCCCAATAATCATTTAAAACCCAATCATAGCAACAGTTACACTATATTTAAGTATTCTCCAGTCAAAGGCAGAGACTGTCACCTGGGATTTTTAAAAAAAGCAAAACTTATGTCTATTAAATTTAATAAATATAGTTAATAAATCTATTAAATATTAAATATAAAGACAGAGCAACAGTGAAAGAGAAGAAAGACAAACACCATATACAAAAGAAGTATCTGAGGACTAGGGGCTGGGTGTGAAGCTCAGCCATGGAGTTGCTTGCTTAGTATGTGTGAGGTTCTAGATTTCAAAAGCACTACACAGCAAAAGATTTTAAAAAGTAAGGCTATATACAATCAAAGTAGAAGCCCCTTTACAACCATCGAGAGTTATAATGATGGATCGGACACACCAAAGTTTGGTGTAATGTGGAACCACGATGAAAAAAGCTGCTATAAATATTTTGTGATGTCTTAATTACTACAGCTTTTAAGATAAATACTGATACATAGTAGGAGAAAAACCTACTACCATATCCCCTCCCAGCCCTCCAGCCAGGTTCTTTTTTAAAAAAAAATTTTATTCATCATTTTTATTTTATGTGTATGAAATGTTTTGTCTGCATGTGTGTAAGTGTACCCTTGTTGTGCAATACCTGTGGAGGTGAGAAGAGGGCATTGGATCTCCTGGAACAGGACTTACAGATGGTTGTGAGTCACCATGTGGGTGTTGGGAATCAAACCATGATCCTCAGCAAGAGCTCTTAACTGCTGAGTCATTTCTTCGGCCCCCAAATTTTATTTTATTATTTTTATGTGTATGAGTGTTTGCCTGCATATATGTAAGTACACCTGTGTCATGCAGTGCCTGCAGAGGTCAGAAGAACGCATTGGATCCTATTGGAAGTAGGGCTCTGGACAGTTGTTAGCCACCATGTGGGTGCTGGGAACCTAACCGTCTGGAAGAGCGGCCAGTGCTCTTAACTGCTGAATCATCTCTCCAGCCCTCCAGCTAGTTTCTTAATGTGGAGATAGAAATATTTGATTTGAGACATTTCTTCTTAGAAAAGATATATAGATATTTATCCTAGTCTCCTTTCGAGTTGCCGTGACAAAATACCTTAAAAGCAACTTTAGAAAGAAAAGTTTTATTTGGCTGCTGAATCCAGATTACATGCAGTTATCACTGTGGGGAAGTCAAGGCAGGTGTTTGTCACACCCTCAGTGAAGAGCAGAGAGAGAATGAATGCTTGAAATTCTTCCAAGTGATTCTACATTGTGTCAAGCCAACAATTAAAACTAACCACCAGCCCTTTGCACCTCCGGGTGGCCCAGCCCCGCAGCTTCCTGGAGCCAGAAGCTTTCCTGGGTAAATTTGGCTGTGCCCACTGCCCCTTGACTCCGCCAGGCTCATTCACCCTCCCTGCTCCCCCACCCCATCTCTCCTTCTAGCAGGGGGCTGGCACATTCCCTGTTCATTTTTTTGTAAATATTTTATTTATTATTTTTATTTTATGTGTATGAGTGCATTGCCTGTATGTATGTGTGTGCACTCATGTTGTGCAATGCTGCGGAGGTCAGAAGAGGGCTTTGAATTCCTCTAGAACTGGAGTTAAGGATGGTTTGTAGCCGACATGTGGGTGCTGGGAATCGAACTCGGGTCCTCTGCAACAGCTGTCAATGCTCTTAACCGCTGAGCCATCTCGCCAGCTCCCAGAGTATATACTTTTTTTTTTTTTGGTCTTTTTGAGACAGGGTCTCCCTGTAGCCCCAGATGACCTGGAACTTGCTATGTAGAAAAGGCTGGCCTGGAACTCACAGAGATCTGCCTGCCTCTGCCTTCCAAGTGCTGGGATATACTTCTAAATATACCAAAATTTGTTGTATTGCCCAGAACATGATTAACCTTCCAGGTACATTTGGAAATACTCTTTTGCTTTTGCGGGGAGGTGTGCTCTATAAATATCAGTTTGAGCCACATGGCTGATAGTGTTGTTTTCAATAATCTTCTTGATTTTCTATATCTTTTTCAATTATTATTATTATTACTATTACTATTTTGATCTTTTTGAGACAGGGTCTCTCTGTAGGCCCATCTGGCCTGAAACTCACTATGTAGACCAGGCTGGCCTTGAACTTACAGAGATCCACCTGCCTCTGCCTCCCAAGTGCTGGGATTAAAGGCATGCACCACCATACCCGGCTTCTTTTTCAATTATTGAGAAGAGGTGTTGAAAGATCACCTCTTGATTTTATTTCTTCTCAAGGTTCTGTTACTTTTTGCTTCATGTATTTTGAAGTTCTGATATTATGTTCACAAATATTTAGGATTTTATACGTTTTAATAGACTCCATTATTAATAGGAAATGACCCTCTTAACCCTTACCAATAGTCCATGTTTTGAAATATATTTGGATAGTCTTCTAGCTTCTCTTCTGTTGGTGTGATAAAACACTCTGACCAAAAACAGAAGGGGAGAAAAATCAGGGCAGGAACTCAAGCAGGAGCTTGAAACAGAAACCGAGGAAAACTACTGCTTGCTGGCTCGCTCACAGCTCATGCTTAGCTAGCTTTCTTATATAGCCTAGGACCACATGCCCAAGGAACGGTGCTGCCCATGGTGGGATAGGCCCTCCTATATTGATGAAGAATCAAGACAATCCCTCACATACAAGCCCACAGACCAACCTGATAATTCCTCAACTGAGACCCTTTTTTTTTCAGGTGACTATAGGCTGTGTCTACTGGATGGTTAATGATAACTAGTAAAGATCTTAATGCAACTACCCTGTCTTATCTTCATTAATGTTTTTATGAATGCCTTCGTCCATCTTTTCACTTCTTTAATGTAGCTTCTATCAAGTTGAATCTTATTTAAAAAATACACAGTGGGATAATCTTTTCCTTTTAGTTGGAATGTTTATATCATGTATACTTAATATGATTATTTGTATGGTTTGGTTTAAATCTGTCATCTCACCACTTATTTTCTCCTTGCGCCACCAAGCCCGGCTAGGTTGTTTTTGATCATACAGCTGTAGTCCTTTCACTTGCCATTTTAGTGCATTGGAGCTGGTAGTACACTTGATCAGCCTCTCAAGGAGCTTTAAGTGATACTATGTTATTTATCACATAGTATAAGAACATTACAGGGACTGGAGAGATGGCTTAGCAGTTAAGAGCACTGGTGATTCTTGCAGAGGACCCAGGTTCAGTTCCTAGTACCCACCATGGTAGCTGGCAACCATCCATAACTCCAGTTCCAGGGAATCAGATGCTCTCTTCTGACCTCCATGGGCATTACATGACACAGGTGCACTTACATACATGCAGGCAGAACATTCACACACATAAAATAAAAATGATAAATGAAAAAAAAATTTTTTGGTCTTTTTTGAGACAGGGTCTTCCTGTAGCCCCAGCTGGCCTAGAACTCACTATGTAGACCAGGCTGGCCTTGAACTCACAGAGATCCGCCTGCCTCTGCCTCCCGAGTGCTGGGGTTAAAGGCTACCATGCCCAGCCTGAAATTTTTTTTTTAAATGAACATTACAAACCTCTACTTCTAATTACCCCCTTTGCTTTTGGTTACTATTTTGGCCATACATCCTATTTTTACCTGTGTTATTAACATTATGATTCATTGCTATTATCTATTTAAAATAGTTGTTTATGTTTTAAAATATTTTTATTACTTATTATTTTTCTTTTTTATGTGTATTAGTATATTGCCTGCATATATATAAATACAGCTGTGTCATGCAATGCCCAAGGAATTCAGAAGAGGCTGTTAGATCATCTGGAACTGGAGTTACAGACAGCTGTTAGCTACCATTGTAGGTGCTGGAAATTGAATCCGGGTTCTCTGAAAGAGTAGTCAGTGTCCTTAATTGCCCAGCCAGCTTCCTAGTCCTTCATTTATCTTTTAAAAGGAGTTAAGTAATAAAAATATTGCACATACAAACTTATAGTAGTTGTTTCCAGAGTGGCTTACTTCTTGTGGAGATCACGTAGCATTATTTTCCTTCTGCTTGAAGAGCCTCCTTTCATGAATTTATTCCAGTATAGTAATAGAGGTAGTGAATTGTCCCAGCTTCTAAATGTCTAAAAGAGAAGATGGGTGTGGTGGCACTCACCTTTAATCCCAGCACTCAGGAGGCAGAGGCGGATAGACCTCTGTTGAGTTCCAGGCCAGCCTGATCTACATATTGAGTTCCAGGCCAGCTGGGGCTAAAAAAGATAAAAAGAAAAAGGTTTTATTTTCCTGGTCATATCCTTTAGTTTGTAAATAATATATATATTTTTAATTGTGTGTGTGTGTGTGTGTACACATGCACACTTAGTTTGATGTTCTATCCTGTCTATTGTGAGCAATCATGTAATGAACCTTGGAGGGCAGATATATCTGCAAGATACTAAGACACTGTTTCTTTCCTTTTAGGTATATACCAAGAACTGGGATTGCTGGCTGATATTGTAGGCAGTTCTTTTTTTTTTTAACTTCAAACTTTCCATGATGGCTGTACCAATTAGCATTCCTACCAACAATACAAGTTTTTGCAAGTGTCCCCATTCTGTTGTTATATATAATTGTTTTCTTTGGTCTCCTTTTCGGGTTGAGGCAGTCCCTTCTGCTTGTTTTTGTGTGCATAGCTTGGGGTGTCACATAAAAAACATCACCACCAAGATCAGTGTCAAAGAGGTTTCCTCCTATTTTCTTCCACAAGTTGGATAGTTTCATGGCTCATGCATTTTGAGATAATACATAAAGTGTGCTAGGGACCTAGTTTCATTCTTCTGCATGTGAAAATGCAGTTTTCTCACTGTTGAAGAGATGATCTTTTCCTGTGTTCTTGCCACTGCCAAAAATAAGTCAACCATCTGTGTGTGGCTTGATTTCTGGTTCTCCGTTGTGGTCTGTTGGCTTATATGTCCACACTCAGGCCAGTACTGTACTGTTTGTAGTAATATAGCTTTGAAATACAGTTTCAAGTTAGGAAGCGTGGTGCCTTCATGTTTGTTCTTATTCAAGATTGCTTTGGCTACCCAGGTTCCATATGACTTCTAGAATGTTCTCTTTCCCTTTTTGGAAAATCTTTTTGTAGCATGGTCCTGTGCTTTGTTACTTTTGCTGATTCTTTCAAAGAACTTTTGTTTTGCCAGTGGAATGTGAGCTCAATTTTTTTCAGAATTCTATTTGCAGACATTCTTCCAAGACTGTCTTGAGGGTTTATTCTTCCTAAAAGGCCTTGTGTCTGCTTTTGTTTGGTGTTTTGGCTTAACTGTTTGGGGGGATTTGGGGTTTTTTTGTTTCGTCTATTTTTTTTTGTGTGTGTGTGTGTGTGAGAAGCACATAGCTACTGTAAATTTGAGCTCCCAAGTGGATGTGAATAGGCTACTGTTCAGGAACTCCAGAGGGAAATCTTTGCTCTCCCTACTTTAAAAAAAAATTTATGTGTGTGTTATGCCTACATAAGTGTACCCATGTTGTGCAGTACCCACGGAAATCAAAAAGATGGTGTTGGATCCCCTGGAACTGGAGTTACAGACGGTTGTTAGCTGCCATGTGGGTTCTGGGACTCAAACCCAGGTCTTCAGCAAGAGCAGTCTGGGCTTTTAACCACTCACTGAGCCAGTGCTCCAGCCCCTGCTCTGCTTCTTAAATGAAAGCTGATATAGGTTCCATGGTGTTAGGAACTCTTTGAAGCTCTTCATTTTCTGCCAAAAGACTGTGTCAGATTCCATCTTTCACTCAGGTCCGAGGCTTGGTGTCTGAGGTCAGCCCTGAGGGGAACTAATGTGCTGGAATTTGCTTCCTCCTCTGGGCCAATGCTTCTGAACAACATTTTTCCTTCCAACATTTCTCTTACTGTAATAGACATTGTCGGGAAGGGAGGACGGGTGCCCTCCCTTGTCTTCTTGAAGAATGAATTCAGTCAAGACATAGATGGAAGTTTACTTCACAAAGCAGTAGTTTAGTTAAATAAAGTTAAACAGAGCACTCAAAGAGGGAGTGGAGTGGGCTGCTCCAAGGCAGGGAGCAGCCCAGTAGGCACTGTGCTGTGCATTTTACAGATGTTTCATGAATATTTGTGAGATAGGTATTAGAGCATCCAGGCCCTAGCAGAGAACACCAAAGGAAAGTCCTGCCCATCTCTGACACCACCAGCAGGAGTTAGCCCACCCCTACTACCTAGAGTTGGGGTAACTTGAAGGTAACATTGCCCTATCCTCATCTAGTCAGCTTGGCTATCTCATACCAGTAACCTGCCACATTTTAACATTTGATTCACACATTTGTTTTTGAAATAACACTACTTTTTATGAACCCAACAATGTAGTTAAAAGAACATTCAAGGGGTTGGAGAGATGGCTCAGTGGTTAAAAGCACTGGCTGCTCTTGCAGAAGACCTGGGTTCAATTCCTAGTATCCACATGGTGGCTAACAACCATTTGTAACTCCAGTTCCAGGGAATCCAACGCCTTCTTCTTACCTCTGCAGGCACTACATGACACAGATGTACTTACATACATGCAGGTAATACACACATACACATAAAATAAAAATAAAATAAAATAGTAAAAGAAAGAACATTTAAAAATTTGAGCAACATTTGTAATGTTTTGTAGCAAAAATGTTTTGGTATCTATTGTCTAAAATATTGTCATAAATGGAAATTTTGACTAATTTTTTTTCCCTTTGAGACAGGGTTTCACTGCACAGACCAGGCTAGCCTTGAACTCACAGAGCTCACCTGCCTCTGCCTCTGCACATGCTGGGATTAAAGGTGTGTGCCAGCATGCTTGTCCTAAAATTTGATTGATTTTTGAAAGGTCTTTGGGGGAAATATTGGAAGAAGCTTTTCCCCATTTCAAAGTAAAATAAAATCCCCTACAATAGGTCTACATTTCTCTGCATAACAGCATACAAGATTTTATTCTTTGTTGCTGGTGATGCATCTTTACTGGAGAGAAGCCTCTGAGAAACTGGGTTAGAGAGACACTGTTTACAACATTCCTGTGTCCACAGCCACATTACTCTGAACATGCTGAATTGTGTCTAATCTAGGAAGCTAAGTGGACTCCAGCTTGGTTAGCACTTGGATGGGAGATAAAAATAACCATGCAAAAATGCTGCTTAGTAGAGCCCCTGACATATTACTGAATAAACGGTAGAGTGCATATATCTAAACATATATTAATAATACACACGTGTATTAAATATTTCACTAACCTTAGAGAAATATTTGATCCAACACCATCTTCTTCTTGAAATTCCAAGAATTCTTCCGACAGGAAGACCTGTACTGCTTTCCAGTTTTTTAAACGTGGAAGGAGTTTTCAGGTAAAGAGTGCCTTTGATGAGGAAGATGATCCGAGTCTTTAGCAGGCTCACGGCCTCCACGCTGTGCCTGTCTGCATCACTGAGGACATTCGGAGGGACTCTCACTGCGACCCACGTCCGGAAGGAATCGTTTGTCTGAAAGGTTTCCAGTTCTGAGATCACGAGAGCGAAGGAAGGAACGCATGCGCTCCAGGTGGTCATGAGTGGGCTCCCGGCTGGCAGAGTGAGTGGTAAATACTGCGGGATCTCAGGCATGGTTAACATAGGGAACGTCAACAGGAAAGGGAGATTTGCAATAAAGCAGTCTTGGAATGCCACTTGGTTGCCTTTAATCTCTTTTAGTAAATCTTCTGAGGTCATTGGTAAACGAATGACCCAGGTTCTAAGAAGAGAAAAATGGGGCGGGGGAGAATACAATGATCTCTCTTTTCTCTGATTCATATTGTGTAGCTTATTGTATTTTAAATTTTTAAAGTTTTTATCAACATAAACCCCTGGATAAAACAAATAATAATGAAATGTTATCATTTCTGTGGAGGCCAGAAGAGGGCATCAGGTCCCCTGGAACTGGAATTAACAGACGGTTGTTAGCCTCCATGTGGGTGCTGGGAACTGAACCTGGGTCCTCTAGGAGAGTAGCCAGTTCTCTTAACCACTGAGCCACCTCTCTAGTCTCAATCTATTGCTTTCTTATATAACCTGGAAAGATGTATCTCTTCCATACCATGCCCACTCATACATCTTCTCTCTACAACCTTAAAATTAATTATATCACACTGATTTAACTGATGAGTCATACTATCCTATATATGTAAAGCAGATAAGAAGTATTGTAGGATGGATGTGGAGAAATTGGAACCTTCATATACTGCTGATGGAAATGTAAAATGGTATACCCATTCCTCAAATATTAAACATGGAGATACCCTATGATCTAGAAATTTTACTCCCAAGTATGTACTGAAGAGAAATGAAAACATACTGACACTTGAAAGTCTTGGCACAGCAGCATGATTCTTAACAGTGCCAAAGAGGAAATAGCCAAGATGCTCATCAACTAAAGGATGAGCATATTAAATATGGTCTATTCATAGAGCAGTGGCAATGGCTGCATATTGTGACTATACCAAAGGCATTGGATTGGTCTGAACCATATTTTCATTAGAATATTTTATTTATTTTTATTTTAGGTGTATGAGGTGTGTTACCTGCACATATGTAAGTGCACCTCTGTCATGCAATATCCGAAGAGATCAGAAGAGGGCATAGGATTCCCTGGGACTGGAGTTATGGATGGTCGTTAGCCACCATGTGGGTGCTGGGAACTGAACCCGGGTCCTCTGCAAGAGTAGCCAGTGCTCTTAACCACTGAGCCATCTCTCCTGGACCATATATATATATATATATATAAATGTGCAGGCTGGCCTCAACTCGATCTCAGAGATCTGTCTTTCTCTGCCTCGTGAATGCTGGGCTTAAAGGCGTGTGCCACCACACCCAGCTCTGAACATCATCATCATCATCATCATCATCATCATTGTTATTATTTATGAGTGTATTGCCTGCATGTGTGTAAGTGTACCCATGCTGTGCAATGCCCACAGAGGTCAGAAGAAGGCATCAGATCCCCTGGAACTGGAGTTACAGATGGTTGTTACCCACCATGTGGGTGCTAAAAATCAAACCCCGGGTCCTCTGCAAGAGTAGTCAGTGCTCTTAACTGCTGAGCCATCTCTCCAACCCCTGAACCATATTTTTAAAGTGTGGATTATATGGCATGTAAGTTACATCTCAATAAAGCTGTTAAAGCAGGTAAGAAACAAGTGTTATTTTAACCTGCCTCCCTTTCTCCTACATCAGAGAGGGCCTTTAATTTGATTTTACAGGACTGCTTTTCCTACCTTCCTACTTCCCAAGCTTTATAAAATCAGGAAGAATTTTAGTTCCAGCTTATTGTTTCTTGAAAGATACTTTGTCTCCCACAAAAGGCACTCCTCACCCTACCTACAAATTTAATTTTTCTGCATCTCTTAGAATGCGTCTATTTTCTCAGGGTACTTTGAAGGCTCTCGTAATAAAACCCCTTCACACACACTTAGAAGACTCCCCCAATTTTGAACTTCTTCAATAATGAGGATATTAACTCTTTAGGAAAGCCCTCTCCACTCCCCTCTCCTCCAGGCCCAAGTTGGGGCCTTCCTGTATGTTCCATGGTACCCTGGGCTGACCTCTACCAGGACATCTCTGCTCATTTCCTTCCTTAACTATGTGTATGTAGGAGGATCTGTGTGTATGTATGGACACTGGTGGAGGCAGTGACTGTTACATCTATCATACCTCAGTGGGACACTTTCATGAACCAGCAGGGAACATTTGAGGCTCTTGGACTGAGGGCTAGGGTCTAACTCAAATAGTGAAGTACTCAAGAATTTGATTGGCATTTTCTGAGTTGATCATTAGTTGGGATTATCACAAATATGTTTTGTATCATAAAAGAATTCCCTTGGAAATCATGTCAGATGCATTCATAAAATTCCATTAAGGTTTTCAAAATCTCTAAAAATTTCTGATTTGCATTTTTTAGTTAAAGATGAATTTAATATTTAAAATTTAAAAATTCACTACCCCTCCATCAATATGGTATCTGGGAGATAAGTTTTCCTCTTCAAAACTGTATGTATTGTGGGATGCTGTCCCAAAGTTGCCAACTGCTTGCTCAGTATTTGGGAATTCTGGAAAAAAATAAAAATAAAAATGCTCTTTTATTATTTCCACAGCCAAAAGCGTTCTGAAATACTTAGATGTGTTTGATAAGGAGTTAAATTTGTTCTTCTAGGTAAAACATTGTTTATGGTTATAAATTCAACGTATTTTCAAGATTTAGCCTTTTTTTATGTTAACCGTCTAGCCTCTTCCGCGTGAGAACTTTATAAATTATAAATGTCACAGAATGGGGTTATAGCTCAGTAGTACATCGCTTTGCCCTAACTGTAAAAATAAGTGAATAAGTCATAGTACAATAGCCAACATATAGAAAAACACACTTGTACTGTTGGAATCCACTATAAACTAAGACTGGAGATTCTTAAATACAAAAAGGTAAGATTTTTTTAAAAGATTTGTTTTTGTTTTATGTGTATGAGTGTTTTGCTTGCATGTATGTAAGTAAACCAAGTGCGTGCAATGCTCTCAGAGGACAGAAGAGGTGTTGGATCCCTTGGAGCTGGAATTACTGTTGGGATTTGAACCCAGGTCCTCTATATGAACAGCCAGTGCTCTTAATTACTGAGTCATTTCCAGCCCCAACATTTAGTGCATTTTCATCAGACCTACCAAGTACAAGATTCTACGACACGTCTATGTTATCCCATGTTATTACGGTCTATATGAACACCATTTTCAATGGCTGCATGATATTATATTGAATGCATTATCACCATTTACCCAACATTCACCTATGGTAGTTTATCTTTTTCACTATTCTGTGACATTCTATGGACATAATAAAGTCTTTCTATAGTTAAGACTAGAGCTTTTGAGCTGGGCGTGGTGGTGCACCCCTGTAGTCCCAGCATTTGGGAGGCAGAGGCAGGTGGATCTCTGTGAGTTCAAGGCCAGCCTGGTCTACATAGTGAGTTCCAGGCCAGCCGGGGCTGCAGGGAGACCCTGTTTCAAAAAGACAAAAAAAAAATTGCTTTTGATAGCTTGGAAAAGTGATGACTGGGTGAAAAGTTATGTATACTTTAAAAACTCTTGGTGTAATATGTATTGACCATTGACCAAATGATTTCTAAAAGGAGCATGTCCATTTATTTCTATTTCTAGGAATTCATGACAAAGCCTCACTACCCTACTGTCCTATCGTCAATCCCTGTGGTGTTATTCTCTGTCTCTGTTTTTCTGTATGTATGTGTGGCGTGGTGCATGCACGTGAGTTTGTGGTGTGAGAGCTTTTGCATACATGTGGCTCAGGGCAGGACATCATCTCCATTCCTCTGTTGCTCATGACCTTATTGTCTTGTGACAGGGTCTCTCACTGCATGTGAAACTCACCATTTCAGCTAGCCTGGCTGGCCAGCAAACTCTCCAGGATCCACCAGTCTCTGCCCACCTCCCCCATGCTGAGGTTACAGGCATGCACAGCTATGCCTGGTTTTTACATGTGTGCATAAATTGGAACTCAGGTCCTCATGCTTACAGAACAACTGTTTTTACCCACTGAACTATCTCCCCAGGCCTCTCTGTTACTCTTAAAAAAAATTCACATTTATTTATTCATTCATTCACTTATTTTACTTATTTGTGTGTGTGTGTGTGTGTGTGTGTGTGTGTGTGTGTACATGTGAGGCATGGCACATACATGTAGAGATCGGAGGACGGCTTGCGGGGGTGATTCTCTCCTTCTACTACGTGGGTCCAGGGGATCAGATTAAGGTTGTCAGTCTTAGCAGCCTCTTTAACCACTGAATCATCTTGGTGGTCCTATGTTACTGTTCTTAGAAGTTTATTTCTATTTCTAACATTAGTCTGTAATTATACATGTTATTAACCATACTAAATGCACTTCTGTTTATTTTTTAGTTTTCTGTCATCAGCATGTGATTCACTGGGCTGGCCTTTTCCATTTAGAGCCCTTCATTAATGCTAATACTTCCACACTAACTTTCTTTGCTGCTCTAGCAAAGGTTCTCAGCATCTGACCTTGAGCTTCTCTCATCTCACAGTATATTCCCTTCTTGGCGATCCCCTTTGCTCACATGGCTTCAAGTACCATCCAAGTCCTACCTAACTCCCAAGTTGTTTTGTTTGCTTTTTAAACTTTTACAAAAACTTTATTGAGAATTTTATACATGCATATAAGGTGTTTTGATCAAATCCATGCCCACTTCCTCCCCTCCAACTCCTCCCATATCTCCCCATCACTTTTTTTTCTGATAACTTCATGCACTCTTTCTTCTTAATTTATTTTTATGGGACTTTTGGTTACTCTAACATTCCCCCTCTGAAGAGGTAACCCTAAATCTTTTAAGGATTAGATACAGGCTCCCAAATACTTTTGACATTTTTGGCCTTTGGAACAGAGTATGTTGCTAACAGTCCCAAGGACATTTTGACTTTTAGCCAAGAAACTGGCTACTTTTCTTTGGGGTCTTTTTACCCTAACTGCCTAGCCAATTCCTACCTCCTGTTTTTTTTTTTGTTTTGTTTTGTTTTTTTTTTGTTTTTTTGCTTTGTCTTTTTGAGCCCAGCCCTACCTCCTATTTTTATCATGCCATCCTCTGGAAGGGTTACCCAAATTGCCAATAGGGAATAGGAACACAGACTGCTCTGGCTTCTTCCATGTTGAACAGGGATGCAGGGTGAGGCAATTGGAGTACCCTTTCAGTGGGTCTATCTAAAAGACTCCATAACTTAAAAAAATTGCATAACTCTTATCTTTAAGAGGGAAAAGAAAGTCCTCGAATCCTGAATAGGAGATGTGAAGGAGAAGTAAAGGCAAGAGTAATTAGCATTACAAGTTCCAGACAGGGAACTAGAAAAAATTAAGAACAGAGCAGTTTTCAAATGATCATATGAGAGTCCATTGGAATTTCTTGACAAGGGCTTCCAAAAGCATCCCTCTGTTGGGTTCTTCCTCATTTTTTCTTTTGTCTGCCAAGGCTGGACTCTAGAGTAATGGATTCAGGATTTTCTTTCAGACACTTTGATAGCTGTTGGAGTAGAATCAGTGTCAGTTCCCTCTCAAAGGCTTCCAAATAGGAGGAGAAAACAAATTTATCCATCATTTTAGAACAATAGCTGGTTGTCTCCCTTAGTTACAGGTGGGCACTACAGTATTGCAGACCAAGATTTGAAGTCTTACATCTGAGCAGCACATTCTGGTTAGGAACAAAATCATCAATGAGAAATAATTGTCTAAATAACTTTTTATATAGACTTAAGTCTAATGTCTGGGAAGTGTAACCCCTTGAACTCTTAAAGAAGTACATTGATGACTTTACTCTTTGGTTATACTTTCCTTTTGGGTGTTTAAGGCCATATGGTTGGCCCAAATAAATCAATTTATTTTTACACTTAAGGTCACTTGAGGATCTGTTCCTCAGGAGTCACATGGGCTTGGGAGGAGTTCCTGGCTCTTTTTTTTTTTTTAAACCAGTCCATCTATGTGAAGATAAGTCAAAGGTCCTGTTCGACCATGTCTGGTTTCGCTTGGAAGCATGGAGGAAATGTTTCCTCTAAGTTCACCCTCCTCTTTGTATACTGGACACTTGTTTTACTCCATCTCGTGGATAACTCCCAAGTTTTACAGTTAGCTCAAGATCCACATACCAAATGATATTCTTTTTTTCTTTTATTTTTATTTTGTGTGTACATGTGCATTGCCTGCATGTAGGTAAGTGCACCGTGTCATGCAATGCCCTCGAAGGACAGAAGAGACTGTCAGATCCCCTGGAACTGGAGTTATGAACAGTTGTTAGCTGCCATGTGGGTGCTGGGATTCAAACCTGGGTCTTCTGCAAAACCAGTCAGTGTTCTTTTTTTTTTAGCTCTTACAAAAACTTTATTGAGAATTTTATACATGCATATAAGATGTTTTGATCAATTCCATGTCCACTCCCTCCCCTCTAACATTCCCCCTCTGAAGAGGTAACTCTAAAATATTTTAAGGATTAGATACAAGTTCCCAAATACTTTTGACATGTTGACAGTTTTTGCCTTTGGAACAGAGTGTGTTGCTAACAGGCCCAAGGACATTTTGACAAGAACAGTCAGTGTTCTTAACCGCTGAGCCATCTCTCCAGCCCCCAAATGATATTCTTAACCCTAACCTTTGGTTGTCTCACAAGCACTTCAAACCAATGTCCAAAAGTGAATTGCTAGCTGGGCATGGTGGTTCACACCTTTAATACCAGCACTCCGAAGGCAGAGGCAGGTGGATCTCTGTGAGATCAGCCTGGCCTACATAGTGAGTTCCAGGACAGATGGGGCTACAGATGGGGTTTTTTTGTCTCAAAAAAACCAAAAACAAAACAAAAAAGGGGTGGGGGAGCTAGAGAGATGGGTCAGTCAGTGGTTAAGAGCACTGGCTGCTCTTGCAGAGGACCCAGGTTTGGTTCCCAGCACCTACATGGCACCTAACAACTGTTTTAACTCCAGTTCCAGGAGATCTGATGCCCTCTTCTGACCTCCATGGGCACCGCACAACACAGGTGCATTTACATACATGCAGACAATATACTCATATACATAAAATAAAAATAATCAACAAAATACTTTTTAAAAAAACAAAAAACCCAAATAAACAAACAAACAAGAGTGAACTGCTGCCTTGAGCTTGTGCTTCTCAAACTTCCATCTGTAAATACTTACTGAGTGAATAAAGGAAAAAGGTTTGCATCCAGGAGAGGGTAGCTCTCTCATAGTACAGCTGTGAGAGAAAGGAAACCCCAGGGTGGGTGGAGTTATTCTGCTTAGGAAATGGGAAGGAAGACAATGACTTGAGTGCAGTAGACAGGGACTTAGAGGAAAGATATACAGGGGCATATCACACTGTGCAGGTGGAAAATAGTTTGGATTTTATTCCTAGTACAATGAGCAAGGAATTGGAGGAATTTTTAAATAGGATTTAAAATTATTTCAAAACACTTTGAGTCACAAGAAGTTGTTGTATATCCCTTCTCTACAGTTCCTCAATGACAACACACATTCCTAATGTATTGTCAAAAATCAA